TGTTGATGAATTTTGTAGCGGTGCTACCTTGACAGGACCCACGTGCCCGACAGGCCTATGGGCAAAACAATTCACGCCAGCCACCTTGACCGAGGACGAACTGCGACAGCAGGCGGCTGCCCAAAGATGCAGCCTCACCTATAGCCAGGTGGCCTTCTTCAGTGAGGAGATTGCAAAATCGGTTTGGGAGCAAGCGCTCGAAGAAGTGGCAAAGGGCGAACTGGAAGGACCGATATCTCTTGAAGACGTCCCCCCTGATATTCCAATTAGTCGCAGGTTCGGGGTCGAGCAAGGTGGAAAAATTCGGTGCGTAGACTGCGTAGACGATTTTTCTGCATCAGGGGTAAATGCAGCCGCTCAACCACTTGAAAACCCCAAATTTCTACTGTGATGCAAGCTGATAAGTCACGAGAAATGTGGAAGATCAGAACTTTGATTTAAAGAGCGCATACGGACAGTGCGCGGTGCACCCTCAGTCAAGGAAATTTGCTTTCATCGTTGTGGGGGACCCCACTAGTCGAACTTTGAAGGCCTTCCGCCTCAAGGCCCTCACTTTCGGGAGTGTAAAGTCAGTTCATTCGTTTCTGAGGGCAGCACATAGCATATGGACGATATTGACCACCATCTTCCTGACGATGACGACAACTTATTTTGATGATTTCATTTCTTTGGCCACCGAATCAGAGGCCCAGTCAGTTGATTTTATTGTAAAAACTGTGCTACGGCTCCTTGGTTGGAAGTTTGCTGAGGATGGTCCGAAGGCCCCACCATTTTCTCAGGTAGTTACAGGGTTGGGTGTGTCAATTGATGTTGGCCAACTCCACAGGGGCCTCACTTTGATTGATAGCACTGAGAAGAGGACCGCAGAGCTATAAGAAGCCATCTCAAGCTTCATCAGCTCCGGCCGAATATCCAAAAAGGACGCGTTGAGGCTGCGTGGGAAAATGCAATTTGCTTCGGGCCAAATCTTCGGCCGAGTGGCCAGGCGTTGCTTGTCTTCAGTGACGCAGCACGCCTATGAATCTGGAGATGGGCGTATGTCGGAGCAGCTTGTGTCATCTCTCACCAAGTTCCACCAACTTCTCCAGCTTAAGACCCCAAGAAGTTTGAGTGTGAAAAGCACCGCGACATGGTTCATCTTCACTGATGCTTCACATGAGCCGGAGGCTGGAATGCCCACAGCTGGAATAGGTGCAGTCCTTGTTGACGATGCTGGCAGAAAGGTAAAGTTCTTTTCGGAACAGTTGACCGATGAGGTATTGACAAAGATCAATGTGTCCAAGAGAAAGACGATTATTTTTGAATGTGATTTTTTCGCAGTACTCTGCGCAAGGTTTCTTTGGAAAAATGATTTGGCTGGAGGCAATGTGGTGATTCATACCGACAATGATGGGGTGAAAAATTCTTTAATTTCTTGCCATAGTACCAGTGCCAATGCCCTGCCTATCCTCAACGCATGTCTTCAACTGGAGTTTGAGGCAGCCTGGAACACCTGGATAACCAGAGTCCCAACAGAATCGAATGTTGCCGACGATCCCTCAGGATTTGATGTAGGTTCTTTGATCCAATGTGGATGTGTCGAAGTCCCTTTCAATCCCTGTTCGATATGGCAAATCATGTCGGAAGGAAATTGGGGAGGCACTGCAACTTGACTTGCCAACCCCACGTAGTCAAAGTGTGTGTGTGTGTGTGCATTGCATCTTGTCTCAGTGAGGGTGCTCGGACAAAAACTTAATGAAGCAAGCCAACGGCAAACCATTTAAAATTTTGACCGAGGTGGTGAATGCATATGAACCAATCGAACGCCCCTTTTATCTCAAGTTCATTGTGAAGGTCAACTGTTAATGTGACACACGCATTTGTAAATCTCATGTTGTCATGTTCAACATGTTTTTGTTGTTGAATTTTTCACGTCCCACCCTCAACCACCCAATGAGGGGTTGGGAGTGCCATGCCCAAAGCCAGGCACTGCGACTTGACTTGCCAACCCCACGTAGTCAAAGTGTGTGTGTGTGTGCATTGCATCTTGTCTCAGTGAGGGTCGTCGGACAAAAACTTACGCAACAGTGATTGCGCAACAAAACAGTCAAATTCAAAAACCTGCTTGTGATTCAGTGCCATGGTTTAGATTTGGCTGTCAGGAATCTGTTGACATTGTATGTTGATGTTCCGTGGACACAAGCGAAAATGTCCCGGTCACTATGTTTTGTTTGCTTCTTGTTTGAAAATTGGAAGCAATGAGTGTCATTATTTTTGCTTCATATATCGTTTTCAAATTATATTGTTAACTAAATATAGTTATAACTGCCCAAAATTGACCGGACGCACGTTTCTTTTCTCACAGACAAACAGTGTATGGGGCAAAACAAAGCTTTGAACAGCAATGCACTGATGGCCATCAGCTATGGCAGGCAGCGCTGGTGGTTGTTCATCGCCAGTCATATCATTGATTGATGCTTCGCTGCAGGCGTCTTCAAGAAATTGCGCAAGAATTCTCAGGTTCTGGACAGGGCACCTGCACCAAGTTGAGAGACCAAACCAACAAATTTGATGACCGTGGCACTAATCCCTTTCCCGTACCATTGAATACCTCCCAGGAAATCATGTTGTACTGGATATATTCATTTTGGGGCCGATTGTTACTCATATATATATATAATGTTGTGGGCGGTGGGGATGGGATTGGTGGGTACAAGAACCAGTCGACAGTCACTTGCGCAAATTTTCGTTTTGCATTACAGATCAAAAGGTTCAAAAAAAACATGCATGAGGTTGACAATGCAAAGCGACCGAAAACCACTACTCCGTGAAACAATGCCGTGTGAATTGATGGGAGTCATTCACTTACTGTAAGGCCAGGAATAGGCGCATCAGTTTTGGATTTGTCCAAACGTACCATTTGAAATGAATATATACCTATAAAAATCAATTCAAATAGTTCACACAATATGTGTAGCCTTCATGCTTGCAAAGCAATGGATGCGGCACCACCTTTGGCGGCAGATTAGTCTGCTCTATTTTTATTGCAGCCCTGCCATGTTACCTTCGCTATCGGCAATGCGGCACGGCTCAGCCGTCAGGAGAATGCATCAGTGTGCACAGTCTGTGTGTTTTGTGTGATCATAATTGATTTGGTGTTCATGATTTTTGCATAACCATTTCACGATTCAATTTTGAATTGGCAGGAGTAGCTCGAAGAAACTTCGTGCGTCCCATTCTGGACGCTGCCTGTTGCTGCTGCTTGGAGTGGAAAACTCTACTGTGAATGGTGGGAGTGTTTTCAATGTTTTTAATTTTCAATGTTTTCCAATTTTGTCTCATTGTGTGTTACCATCTCTACACACATGCCAACGCAGACGCTGCAAGGCTCCTTGTTTTGGGACTTGTTTCCTTTGCACCAAGGAGCGCGAACGTGTGTGGCCCTTGTTTTTTTCTAGGCCTAAAAAAAATTCATCAAATGAATGTTCTGGATTAAATTCCGGTTTCACATGGTTTCACTGTTTTCCTTGTCCTTTCCCACAGTTACTTGCTCCACGTACTGTAATAGTGGCCGACACAGGAGATGGCATTCCGATGCAAAGTCAGGCCAAGGCTTGAAGCTGATGGTCCATGATGGTCCGATGGTCCTATTGAATTTCTTCTTGATATGACTTGTGACTTGTAGTCTTGAATAGCCGTCATATCCTGCAGAAACAGATGTAAACCCAATGTACATTTCATGTTTCGCTATTATTGTGACATTCCAACAAGGCAAGTCAATAGACAAAATTGGAAGGGTGTGTTGCCATCCTGCGGTGTTTGCTTTGCTGGTGTGCATCGCATCACTGCAAGTGTGGGCACGGGTCATGTTGCCTGTGGGGAAATTTCTGAACACGAACGAACCTCGGGTCAGCAACTTCCCGCGAATCAGCAACAAAGAATCGGAAACTAAAACCCGCGAATCAGAAACTAAAATCCGCGAATCAGAAACCAAAATCTCACGAATCAGAAACCAAAAACCGCGCGAATCAGAAACTAAAATACAGGAATCAGATACAAATCCCTGCGAATCAGAAACTGAGAATCAGAAACTAAAAATTGCGAATCAGACACCAAGATCCGCGAATCAGAAACCAAACAAACCCACGAATCAGAAACCAAAAAAAACGAATCTCAAACCAAATCTGCCACCCCCTTTGAAACAGATGTGCAGCGTGGAAACGAACTCGAGAGTGGAGGTGTATGTAGTACTTGAAGAACCTGCACCTTTTTTCTCTCAGTGTGTATGCAAATAAGATCAAATAAACATATTTGTAAGACAGGTGTATGTATATTGAATACAGAGGCACTGTACACATATATATACATATATATATATATGTATACATATATATATATATATATATACATATGTATATATATATATATTATGTATGTATGTATGTATGTATGCATGCATGCATGCATGCATGCATGGATGTATGTAATGTATGTATGTATGTAATGTAATGTAATGTAATCTAATGTAATGTAATGTAATCTAATGTAATGTAATGTAATCTAATGTAATGTAATGTAATGTAATGTAATGGTATGTATGTATGTATTGTATTGTATTGTATTGTATTGTATTGTATTGTATTGTATTGTATGTAATGTAATGTAATGTTATGTTATGTTATGTTATGTTATGTTATGTTATGTTATGTATGTTATGTATGTTATGTATGTTATGTATGTTATGTATGTTATGTATGTATGTATGTATGTATGTTATGTACTATGTTATGTATGTTATGTATATATGTACATATATATATATATACATATATATATATATACATATATATACATATATATATATACATACAGATCTGTGTATATATATATTATGTGTATATATATATATGATATATTATATATGACATATGATATATGATATGTGATATATGATATATATTTGTATATAGATCTACGCATGTGCTACATGCTGTTGTTTGTTGAAGCGTCCGAGGAATGACATGATTCTCGACCCATCCCATGTTCTCTTAGTTGTTCGGCAACCTCCAGGTGACTTGGGTGCCTTTGGCACCTTTGTGCCTAGCAAAATCGATAGATTGGGATCTTCAAATCCCAAGTACCTTGGCAAAAGCCTTGGTTTTGCCATCTTTGTAGTGTGGAAAACCTTTGCTGTGGAAAATGTGGGTATATGCTGTAGCAAGTGATTGCCGGTTGGTGTTTTATTCCCGGCTCCATCGAACAATTTCACAAGTCGGCTATTTGACCACCATCAAACGAGCTTGGACTATCCAACTGTTGGTTTGCTTTGGAAAAGTTGGCATGATCAAAGGACCGCAACAAGAGTTTCTTTTCACAGATCGGGAGGGACGTCTTTTGGAATGAAGAGCAGTATGATTCGTTTTGGGCGGTTTGGATGTGAACATATGTGAAGCACAATTAAACATATTTTTGTGTGTTGACCTCTCTGACTCCTCTTACTTTTGGTCAAATCTCGTGCGACACCAGGCCGAACTTACGAGGCCGAGCAACAGCTGGAGACCAGGACAGGATTTGGCTGTGCTTGGTGAGGCGTGTAGTGCAGCGTCTCGTTTTGTCAGGAAAATACCGCCATCTTGGACAGACCAGTTGTGAACGGCAACTTGGTGTAGCACTAGTGAGTAGAAGAGATTTGTTTGTTCTGAATCTTTGTAACCCATACACAATTCTGGTGGATTAATGTGAAGTGTACAAGGGAAATACATATCTATACATGATATATATATATATAAATATCTATACAGTACATGATATATATATATATGATCGAAGGAAGTTTAGAAGTCAAACTTCCGACAATATGGACAGATGAAAAGCAGAGATGGGCAGAGTAAGAGAAGAGAAGAGAAGAAAAAAGAAGATCACAAAAGAGAAAGTCTCAGAAGAAAGAAGATCCAGGTGCGCGAAAAGGTAGGAAATCCGCGAAACACTGTGTTTTTCCAATGATTTGTGGCCATAAATACGCAGACACACACACACACACGAATACACATGCCCTCTGAGTGCAGTGGCCTGTTTCCAAGGACGCCGAACCCAGCCCACTGGAAACGATGGCCCAGAAAAGATGCCACGCATTGAGCGGGAGGCCTTCATGAGTCAATGAGTCAAGAAGTATACAAATTGACGAAGAATTGCACTCGATTCCAATCATTAATCATGACACTTTCCTATCGTCGCTCGTGATACTTTCGCTGTGCCAGGTATCGAGAGCCCTCGAACTGGAAGAACAGGACATACTGCGGCCAGTGTGGCAAAGCAGCACTATGCAGTGTATACTATACTATACAGACAGACATGCTCTAGACTATACAGTACTATACACGCATTAAAAAGCCTTCTGCCCGAGTACCAGGGAGCAGTTTTGAAGCGCAGAGAGTTGACATAATCAGACAGGTTTTGGTTCTTGATTCTGTTTCAGAATCCTGCAACTCACTAACAATCTCTGAGCATTGCTAATCTTTACACGATGTTCTAAGATTTCCAAGGCCAGAGCGACTTGAAGCCTCTTCCAGTCAGAGCTTTGGATCTGTAGCTGCTGCTGTCTGTGCAGCGCTTCTTGTTGGTCTGGCAGCGGGTTTTGCCCTGCGTCCTGAGAAAATCGATAGAGATAGACTGCCTTCAGAACCTCAAGCTCTACCTGTTCAGGCCATGATGACCCCAACACCAACATGAACAATGTGGCAGTGTGATGCAATGTGGACTTATTGTATCTTATTTCAACAGTTGACAAGGGCTACATTGCTACATGTTGCAGAAACACACAGACACAGACACACACACACACACACTGCAGATTAGGTGGACACACACACACACAATGAAGCTGTATGTTGAGACAGTCAAATTTCAATTAGCGACATAGCCACGGAAGGTGTCATCAGCTACCTGATTTTTCCATGCTTTAGCACATTTTCGGAGTCACTTTTTTCGTTTCTGAAGGGATTCTTTACTCTGGATACGATTCCAGTTCTGTAGTTCTTGGTTTGTTTGTAACCATGATCAAATATAGCTTTAGACAAATAAGACATTATCGGAAGGTCAGATCACACATGATTGGCATCTCTATATTATTCAATGCTTATTATAAACACCCTTGATTCAGACTTGTTTCACGCAGCATTCGACAGCATCCTGACCAATTACGACAGCAGGTCCAGGGACCTGACTCCGACAGCCAGTCTTCACCAGGTGTGGTCTTGGAGAAGGCAGGACACAGAATGGCGAGGATGTCTCAAGATGTCTCAAGGGAAAGATTTGGAGATATGCAGCTGTGCAATGCAGCTTGATGACTTGTACGGCCGAAGGCTACTGGAAAGATCCAAAGTGTGGCTGGCGGAATGAGAGACGTTGCTACCAAGGCCTTCATTGAAAGGGAGCGCAGTCTCTGCTAATTTGGTGAACTTGCCTCCCACTGTGAAAGGTCGACAAGGCTGTTGCAAGATTGAAGGAGGTTGGGGACGTTTGAAGTGCATGTTGATTGTGATCTGCCGGTCTGCATAGTGCACCTGTCTGAGGTACGTAGAGTGTGGAAAACGAGTGAACACTGTAATGCAAAACAATTTGCTGTGAAACAAATGTGATGATGATCAAGACAGATAGCTTCTTTCCCAGCTGCATTCTGCCAGGTAGAATCCAAAGAAGATCAACTTCTCCGGTATGATGACAAATTGGTGCCCCGCTTTCACACTATTGTATTTTTTGAATTACATGAATGGATTGCTGGCATATTCTGTGAAGCGGAAATCTCTGGTTTACCAGGATAGCTCCAATGTCACCTAAATGTGTTTGCATGCGAAACTCTGCACTACACTGCACTCTGTCAGAGTCTGTCAGAGTCTGAGGCCAAGATGTACACTGGTCTCATGGAATCAGCTCGAGACGCAGGTGCGAAACTGCAAGATGTTGCCAGCAGCATCGCCTCTCGGCTTTCAGCTCCTGTTTCGAAGACTTCATAGTCGGATAGTTGCAGATCAATGATATATTTTATAAATTTGATAAAACTGATAATGATTTTGATATAACATTGATATTAAAACATATGATAGATATATGTGTGCATTATTCATTGCCAATTGTTTTCCTTATTGCACGATATTTTGATAAGTTGCTCATTTGTCTAACCTTGTTTTTTTTGTGTTTAGCCAAGGCACCGGCACCACCAACAGAGAAGGGCCCTGCAAGTCGAGTGTCAGCATCGGTGGTCAAGAAGATTCGAGACATAGGCACCCTCAGTGGTGCCAGCGAGGGACTGACAGATGTGCATCAATCAGAACATTTCATATCAATACTTCTCGAAAAGTATGACGCTTATCTTACGTTGAAACATCCCATTTCCTTGAACGGTTCATCCCGGATTCATCCTGCCAGCTGACATGGTCTCTAATCGAATTGATGTATAAACGACTTGTAGTTGTACTGTATATAGTTCTGAATCATTCCTGGCAGTTTCCACACTGCCTCACGTTAGTTGTTTGGGGATGAATGTTTTCAGCAACGATGCCTTTCTATCTGTTTTGGAATGCACCATGGTGATGGTGAAGAAATCCTTGCATTTGTCTCGCGGTCTGGGCTGACGGTTTTGCCCGTGTGCCACGTTATGCTTTGAAAATCCCCTGAATCTCTCTGAGTCTCACTGCGTGTGCAGCAGTCGCCCAATTCCTTCTTCAAACATATTCATATTTAAAGGCTTACGCCTGACAGCCGGGCGCCGGCCAAGCAACGACTCTTGGCTTATGCTGTGGGAAGATTGGGCCGAGATTCTCCGCGAAAACCCAGGGAAAACCCAGGGAGGGCTATGTTGAACTGAGGCAGGCATAATGCGCAGTGCTTGCCTGTATGGAAGCAGTCTGGGCCTATGTTGAGCGCAGGTTGTGCCCACGTTGGGCCAAGTCGGGCCCATGTTGAGCCATCTTGGGCCCGTCTTGGACTTATGTTGGGTCGGGCCCATGTTGAGCCGTCGGGCCCATCTTGGGCCTATATTGGCCCAGGTTGGGCCTATGTTGGGCTCATCTTGGGCCCATGTTGGGTCTATGCCATGTTGGCATATGTTGGCCCTACGTGGCCCCATGTTGAGCCATCTTGGGAGCTATGTTGGGGCCATATTTGGGCCATCTATGTTGACACGATCTTAAGATGCCAATTTTTCCTTCCCGGGCGCCTCATTGAGCCCAAGACCACGACCGATGTTTTTGAACACCGCCAAGATAAAATCCGTGGCCACCGAAGGGCCCGAAATAGCGTAAAAAACGAGGTTTTTTAACACCGCAAGCAAAAAACACCGTAAATTACAGGGCCTTCAGTCGACACGGGGCGGCAGCGCCTTTAACCTTCGGTTACCATCGAAAGCCTCCGGCAAGGACACGGCTGCGTGGCCGGCGCCCGGATTAAAGGGCTGCTGCTCTTGCTGCCAACCCCGGTAAAAAGCAACGGAAGATGAAACTTGGAGACATTAGAGGAATTGAGCCCGCTAGAAAAGTAGCTTTTGGAGGCGCGATCGCCGTGCTGCGCCACAGCAAAACCCTAGGAGCTGACCATTTCAGCAAGCTTCCAGCTCCAAGGGTGCACTGCCGGAGAGCCGCAGTCGCGGGTCCCAAGCCGTGCTGCGCCACGGCAAAGCCCCATGGAGCTGACCATTTCAGCAAGTTTCCAGCTCCAAGGGCGCACTGCCGGACGTCACCTTCTGAGCCTGCTGGAAAATAGTAGCTTTTGGAGCCGCGGTCGCAGGCTCCGAAGCCGTGCTGCGCCACGGCAAAACCCCATGGAGCTGACCATTTCAGCAAGCTTCCAGCTCCAAGGGCGCACTGCCGGACGTCACCTTCTGAGCCCGCTAGAAAAGTAGATTTTCTGAGCCCGCTAGAAAAGCACCTTTTGGAGACTTCACTTAGGCACTACCTAGATCTCCAACAAATAAGACACCAAAGCCAAGCGAGGCAGGTGAACGCCATTGAACAATCCTTTTCTGAGTGGCAGCTGGAAGGTGACATGCTGGACGAAGCTCAAGCAGATGTCTACAAGGAGGAGTGGCTCACTTTGAAGGTTGCTTGGATTTGTTGCAAAGTAATTGGAAACTCTATTTCAAACAAAAACTGTGTGAAGAAGCATTCGACAAAAAAAACATTTTGATACGTTCTGGCTCTTCCACAAATTGTCAGTTTGATTTGTGACTCTTCCAAGAAATCATTGAATATCTTGGACTCAACTTCCCGCAGCCAAACTGAGGTATACCCTTCAGTTTTTCGAGCATTCTTGCCGCTGATGAAGCTTGTTTGCATTGGCGAACCTTTTCTGGATTTGAAACTGTTCGCTCTAGATAACACTGCATGCTATGATTGCCGCAAGGGAGTATTATGAGAAGGAAGCATTCAGTGACGGTGTTGGCGACAAGTTTGTGAATGCACCCCAGTTGCAAGCAGAGCACGGCGCTCGTGCCTCTTGAGTATTTCGAGTATCATGAACATTCCTGTTGTGATTTGTTGCCCGTTTTTCAAATTTTATGATGTCCTGAAAACTTGAAGGGTTTTTACATCTGAGGCAGCTACGCGGGACAGCCTTTCTTTCTACCGCATGCAGATGTCAGTCAGTATAGATCGCCTTGCAAAGGCTTGTGCCAATTGCCAGTGATGTTGTGTTTTCGGATGTCGTGAGAGATATATTTATCAGTTCTCTGCTCACCTCAGGCCTTGCGAATCTTTTAAATTATTTTGCAATATTTTGGCCCAATGCTTCCTAGGATACAGCTGGCTGTCAGGCAATTGAGAATCAGAAGGTGCGTGAAGTGGAAGAGGCGCTCTCCACGCGTATCAAGACTGGGCTCAAGTGACCTCAAGCTGAAACTCTGGTCCTTTTCCAAAGGAAGGACTCATGCTTTGCTTAAAGAAATGTGAGTGCCCATCCTTTGGGTGCTTGCTGTATCTACTTCTCTGAATCTTCATGATTGTATGAATGTGTCAGCTTCTATCTTTAAGAAAAAACCGCAGCCATATTTTTGGAGGCCTTCGCAAAGACTTCGTTGTCGTATGACCGATTTTTGAAAGCTGGTGATTTGTATCAAGGCGAGGGTTCTTTGATTGAGTGAGATACTCGCACACTTAGGTTTATGTGACATTATGTGTTTGCTCCATAGTTTGATCATGTTGCGAGTCGCAACAGCTCTCTTGAACCTCCATGCTCGCAGTTCACTTGTAGGCTATGACCCTGTGACTTCTACAACAGTCTTCTTCAAGAACATTAGCGATGACCAACTGCGATATACTCCTCTTGCACTACAGCAGCCACAGATTCGGGATGAGGCGTGGCGGGGCAGGACTTCTATTAGCGCATTGAAAAACACACAGTTTGGGCTGATGAAACTGTTGGATCCAATATTGAAATATATTGCAGTAGTGTTTGAGAGTGTTTGAAGCGCATTCTCCTCATGTCGGATTGGTTCTGCACCAGGTCTTGGTTCTGCAGGGCCCGGACAAGGGCAAGGCGCGAGATGGCGCGAGTCAAGAGTGAGCTGATTCGTCAGCTCACCGTTTCTTCAGTGGTCAGGAAACGTTGGAACATGTTGACAGTGTTGAAGCTGTTTCTTCAACCAGGTTGGTCGCATCATTTGGCTTGGGCGTGAGAATGGTGATGACCTTGACAGCAAGGCCTTGAAGAAAGAGTAAACTTCTCCCTGGTTAGTGTTGAACCAAATTCACCCACACCTGCAAAGCATTTAGAGCGTTTAATTCTTGTGACTTTGGCTCGATCCTGAAAAGTCTTTCCACCAGGTGCTTTCCGCAGTCGTAAAGTTGGAGCCCAATCCAGTGGCTTGGTGGTCAGCTGGTATTACTGCAGAATCAGAGAGAGTCAAAAATGTCAAAAGACTGCCATGCAACTGGCCATAACTGGCCATGAGGTTCTTGGCAGCTCCAAGAGTGGCGGCGTGACCCAGCTGCATTTGGTCTTCCCCCTGAACACGTGCCACACGGTGTGGACACAGTGCCATCTTGGACCAAGGTACGAGAGGTGAAAGCATATCCATACAAGTGGCTGGTAATGACCCGTGGGAGCAATGAGAGTTACATGCAAGACTTGGTCTTGGCAACGCTGGCAACTTGATTAAAATTGGGTGAGTGAGTCACCCTGCCTTCCATGGAGCCTTAGCCATCGCTGCCAAGATACTGTGTCTGGTGCATTTCAATTCAGCCTGAGGCAGCCATGGTCTCCTGCACTGTTACGTACCCGTTGGAGACAGTGAAGGCAGGGCACCCAGATATGAAAATGTGCTATAGGCATCTATAGGTTAATCTATAGGCTATCACTGGTGATCCCTGCTGTTGCAAGACTTTACTTTTGCCAAACAACAGGCCCGCGTGCAGTCAAATCTGCCGCTGATTCCTCCGGAAGGTCCCCAGGTCACTTGGTCAAAAATTACATTGGTGGCTAAGTACAAGACAATTGGTCAATCCAAACGTTTCCTGATGAATTTGATGCGTTTGATGCGTTTACTATCGCATAGGGCGTAAGTTGCAAACAGCATGGGTCTAGACACGAGCTAAAGGTATGTTTTTCTGCAAAAACAAACGTTTGGACACCAGCAATAGAGTTTGTTTAGCTGAGTGAAACTAACGTTTTGTTCTATGCAAGTTTGAGCACAACAGCTTTGCAGACTGGAACCAGATGTTTTCTCGCCATGACGTTTTTTGGGCCTATACAAGGGTAGAAGTTTCCAGCCCAGAAACAAACATTTTCTGGCAATGTTTGTTCAAAACCCCGAGACTCAAGACAAACTCAGAAGCGGTCAAAAAAAATCAAGGTAGCTTGTGAGTTTGTTTTGACAGAAAGTGTTGCAGTTGAGTTTGTCTTTCTGCAGCCAACAAGCAAGTTTTAGAGAACCATAGAGAACCCTTTCTTTTAGCCTGAAAAACAAACAGGTGTCCAGTTGGTTTGTCTCCTACCTAGTGCAAAACTATTGTCCGAAACAATACTTTCCTGAAAAACGACATTACCGTCAGATCTGACTCGACGTTGACCCATAGCAGAACCAACAATTTTCAGCACGGGAACTGTTTTCGGAACTGTTCATTCCTATTCCTAGAGTCCATATGGACTCGACTTGCCAGGATCCCTCAGCCAGCACACAGCTTGCAGAACATATTATCAAACTGTTTGCAATTCAATTCTTTAACAGTAACATATGAATTCTATGATTTCTATGAATGCTTCTGATACTGTACTATTCTGCTTTCCTCAAACAGACGGCTCATCAGCAGTGTTAGTTATAGTCATACATAGTTATGATCACTGCACTGGCTTTGACACTTTGCAGGATTTTGTTTCGAAATGAGCATCTTCGGGTCCATTGTGTCACTGCATGCAACTGCACTCTGAGCTGACTTTCAGAAACAGTGACTTTTTTCAAAGGCAGATTTAGGGAAGCAGTGACTTGTGGCTGCTTCCTGCAATTCAAGGCCCTTTTCAGAGGTGTTGAGCTCAATGTCTTGCGAGAGGCCTGAGAGATCTTGTGAACATAAGTGAAATGGTGCAGACTTATCGGCGTACTATCTACAGTAGTATGTGCTGGTAGGTAGTCTTAATCTTGAGCCGCCTCCCTTCAGGCACCCAATGCGGGATTCCTCATGGCTGGGTTCAACTACTTCACCAGATTTGCCGTGGTCAGCTGAGGGAACGGTCTGATTATCTGATTCAAGCGGACATGGCCGTGTTTTTCCCGGTGTCGTCTCTTGCTCCATCGCTGCCTCTCTCTCTCTTTCGCATATCCCAAGGTGGGCTTGCCCTTCGTCAATGGGAACGACCCGAACCTGAAGTTTTTATTGATGATTCCTTCAGGCTTGGTTGGCCATGTCAGGGCTCGACCACCCTGTTTCCAGTTGGTGAATCTGCCCCAAAGGAGGCAATCTGCTGATCCATTTGCGATTTCATTCCCATTGCAGGGGTTGTGGCAATGCTGACGGGAGCCTTCGTGAAGGCACCTGTGATTGACATCAGCAAGCAGGTGGGCAGCGCACCAATTGGCACCAACTGCTCCAACATTTCAATGGAATTCGTCCACGTCACTTCACGTTGATTGGCAGGTTCAAGCTGGGGTAGCACAGAATGCCGGGGAGGCCATTCAGAAACTTGGATAGCTGCGACTGGGTGATTTGGTGTATCCAGTATTTACTCGAACAGCTCGAACCCGTGCTTGGCCAGCTTGAACGGCATTCAAGGAACGTGTACCTCAAACCGTCCCCTTCGCAGGCAAGGCTTAATCAGAGAAACCAGAAGCTGGAGAGCAAACTTGCTTCTTCTGTACAGTGACATGAAAGAAACATCGTGACACCAAATAGAGTCAATAAAGTCTATGTCCCGTGGAAAATTCAGCTAGATATGAAATCCATTCTATGGTGCTGCAAAGTGCTGCAAACATGTTCCCTAAAGACTGTGAGACTGACGGCAATTGCGGCAAAGGCGAAAGACTGCTATATGGCTATATGATAAGAGGATTAAGAGGGCTTAGGATAAGCGCTTGCAGTTTGCTGTGTTTGGCAAACTGCAGATGTGGAGGTCTCCAAGCGTTTGGCACGTACTCTTATGCTCACTGGGATTCGAGGAGTGCCGGCCTGACAGATTGGTGGTTGCCATACTGTAGCTGAGACAAACCTGAATCCACATAGATTACTGTACCTGACAGTTAGATATGATTAGATTACTGTTTTCTAAACTTCTTGTGCTTGACCTTGAGAATCTGAGATCTGCGAAAATCAGGTGCCATTTGGAGCGTTTCAATGCTTCATCTACGAGGTGCTGAAGGCGCCAAGTTTCGAGTATCATTGTATCATGCAGCATGCAGCATGATGCTTCTCAGTGGCGCTTCGAGTGGAACAGATTGAACCGGTCCAGGATCAGACACCACCACTGCTGGAAAGCATTGGAGTCTTTTGGCATTGCATCCTACATTGGAATGTCACGGTGTCACGATATTGTCATGGTATTGTGTTGCTATTTGCTTGTATTTTCTGATTTGGTGGTAACATAAAGTGCTTTTGGTACAGTACCTCCCAAGGTGCCTATTTGGGCGGAGCCATTCCTTTGGGGCGGCATTGCAGGGTTTTGCACCGGATACTTGACCAATCCTCCGGACTGGTTCCAAGTTATGCACAAGTCACATGAGCCTTTAATAGCCTTTATATGCCTTTATTCAAAATTTACTATTTACTACAATTTGTTCTTTCCTTGCAAACTATCACAACTGCATGTGCACACATGAAGCTTTTCCGCTGATGTTTTGATTGAGCAGGACGTGGTTATGCAGCGTTTGGCGCTAGAGTCGGATGACGATAAGGAGCAACATTTCTTGGATTATGAAGTTCGTTCCTTGAAGCCAAGGGAGTGCAGATTTTTGAGCTTTGGGTTGTTTGACATTTGATGTTCCTGCCAGGATGACAAGCCTTTCAGCATTGGAGAAACCTGGGAGCAGATCGTTCGTGCCACCCAAAAGGCCAGATCTCTGTGCTGTGCATGGTGCGGCAGAACGGATCAAACATTTTGATATTACAATGGTGCATTTTGATGTATTTTCAAGTATTTGAGTGTGATTGGAGTTGGCTTCAACTCTTTCTTACTCCTGGCACTTTTCTGTCCAGACCCACCAATCACAGGTTTACGAGGAAGACGGCCCTGCAGGCTTCGCAAAAGGTGGACTTGAGATGCTTGATATTCAAATTTAGAATCAGAAGCTTCTTGGAAGAAAACACACACTGTTGATTTTTTGGAAGTGAACTGCAATGACGATGTGGTTGTACACGCCTGGTAGAATTCCTGAGTCCATCATCCTTGATAAACAGGTGAAACCAGGTCCAAATCATTAATCAGCAAGGTGGTTCTTGGGTTAGCCACATCCCATCGCGGAAAAGGAAAGACATGATTAGGCAGGTACGTCGATCCAGCGTCCCGGATCGATATCACAGAATGTCATAGCCGTCTTCGTTGGCTGCAGAACTATGACATTCCCTGCAGCCCCCTGCTGTTAAGTAGTCTTTGGCGCATGAATTCGGAAAACATAACGTGCATAGTCTTTGGCGCATGAATTCGGAAAACATAACGTGCATAGTCATCAAATGTCCAGTTGTAGTTTTCTGCATGTGAATAGCAGTGTACACACACACAAAGGCCTTCACATGGAAGGCAAATTCTGAAAGACTGCCTAATGAAGTAAGCAGATCACGTCAATATAAGCAACGTTGAACTCAGTCGAAAATGAAATTCATGCTTGGGATTAGGTGTATACGCACCTGCATCTTCATGGACAGGTCTTTCCAAAGAAGGCACTCTGAGGTAGCGGCGTGTAGAGCAAGTAGACCACGTAGATCAAAGAAATCGCGATAAATAAAGTCGAAATGAAAAGGACATGGTTAGATTAAAAGGTATTAATTGTTATTGGCGAAATGATTGAATATGATGCAATCCAAAGTTTGTATTAGCGAAATAATTGAATATGATGCAATCCAAAGTTATCGTGCCCTTGTCCCTCACGAACATCAATTGTTTGTTGCAGATTGCGCAACACTTTGCGTGTGGAGAGCGGTATACACATATATACATATGTCTTCATAAGGAAGGTGACACTTCTGGGTTGCCGACGCGTGGAACAAATAGAGCAAGGACAGTATGACTTTGGAGTGTTAAAAAGTGAAGAGAACTGCACTTCAATTGAAACATGGATACCACGAAATGAAATGGACACAAATCGATTGTATTCTTGTTCTTCCACAAATCCGTTTAAAATGAACGTTTATTAGTTGTCTATGGACGAAGGGCAGAATTCGCCAAAAACTGAGATTCCGACGCGTAGAACACGTAGGTCAGGTGGTTGAGATAGAACGCAGTGATGAAAAACAGTAAATGGATTGATTAAATCACAGTTATATAACACTTAAGCCAGTGTGTTGCAGTACCGTGAACCATATAGAGTAGAACAACGGACGTAAACTAAGCTGGAGAACTGAATATAATCAATTACGGAAAAACAAATATCACACTGCGAGCCAGGCGTTTTGGGTGGGATGTTGCAGAAAAACGTTTGAACAGTTGCAACAGTTGCAAAGTTGCAATTGGAATGAAAAGCACAAAACCAAAATGCAGCTACAACGGCTTCTTTTCAGTCAAACGGTGTCAATTGTTGTCTGGTCCATTTGTGTCCAAAACTGCGGGCAATCGAAATGATCTGAGGAATGCATTCGCGGTATCTAGGTTTCTGAAGGGTATGAAGGGCGAGCAGGTCTTGAACTTGAGGAAGTTGAAGTTCACGAGGAAAAGTATTTTGTAAAATTAGACGTGTTCGAGCAATGAGACCTGTATACATGGAGCTTCTAGGTCCAAAACCAGCGGAAGTGCGTATCACTGTGTCCCAAGGCAATACCGATGTAATGGTACGTTGATGTGGATTGATGTTGAATCCAAGTGCATCAAAACCCTGTACTTCTTCCAAAAGAATGGGCGAGGTGTAGAAGTCTAAATTCCAAAAGCAAGTTTGTCGAAGGCGATCAGTGAGTTGTTGTGGACCCAAAAGCAGACGGTTGTCAACATAACGAAAGGAACTAAAAAGTTTTTCAGAAAAAATGGCTTGTCCAAAAAGCATGCTGTAGGTGTGCTCTCGATGTAGGGCAACTAGTGAACATACAACTGGGGCCCACTGTGAGCCCATAGATGCGCCTTGTATCTGTCGGTAGCTAACACATCCCAGTGAAAATAAGCTATGGCGAAGGAGGTACTTCACAAGACTATGGTCTCAATTATTGGATTGGTTTGAAGTGTTCGCTCAGTAGAAAACCTCGAAAACATGAATCAAGATCGTACACACATCTGCAGCGATAAGGTCCCTACCGTGTTTGACATTCTGCTTGGTTCGAGCATCACAAACTATGTGTGTCCGCACACTTTTGTGATAGGTCTTCCTATATTCTAGATCTCTTCAAATTGATCTCTTGTCCTCACAATTGTAAATTGATTTGAAAGAGAAGGTGAAAACTCATAAAATGACAGTAAGAAGTAGGGTTCCCGGCCAATAAAATCCTTCGGCACATGGCCACCTTCGCCCTATGGGCACCATTCGCCCGTTGGGCACCCCCTTCACATGGAAGGCAAATTCTGAAAGACTGCGTGTAGAGCAAGTAGACCACGTAGATCAAAGAAATCGCGATAAATAAAGTCGAAATGGAAAGGACATGGTTAGATTAAAAGGTGTTAATTGTTATTGGCGAAATGATTGAATATGATGCAATCCAAAGTTTGTATTAGCGAAATAATTGAATATGATGCAATCCAAAGTTATCGTGCCCTTGTCCCTCACGAACATCAATTGTTTGTTGCAGATTGCGCAACACTTTGCGTGTGGAGAGCGGTATACACATATATACATATGTCTTCATAAGGAAGGTGACACTTCTGGGTTGCCGACGCGTGGAACAAATAGAGCAAGGACAGTATGACTTTGGAGTGTTAAAAAGTGAAGAGAACTGCACTTCAATTGAAACATGGATACCACGAAATGAAATGGACACAAATCGATTGTATTCTTGTTCTTCCACAAATCCGTTTAAAATGAACGTTTATTAGTTGTCTATGGACGAAGGGCAGAATTCGCCAAAAACTGAGATTCCGACGCGTAGAACACGTAGGTCAGGTGGTTGAGATAGAACGCAGTGATGAAAAACAGTAAATGGATTGATTAAATCACAGTTATATAACACTTAAGCCAGTGTGTTGCAGTACCGTGAACCATATAGAGTAGAACAACGGACGTAAACTAAGCTGGAGAACTGAATATAATCAATTACGGAAAAACAAATATCACACTGCGAGCCAGGCGTTTTGGGTGGGATGTTGCAGAAAAACGTTTGAACAGTTGCAACAGTTGCAAAGTTGCAATTGGAATGAAAAGCACAAAACCAAAATGCAGCTACAACGGCTTCTTTTCAGTCAAACGGTGTCAATTGTTGTCTGGTCCATTTGTGTCCAAAACTGCGGGCAATCGAAATGATCTGAGGAATGCATTCGCGGTATCTAGGTTCCTGAAGGGTATGAAGGGCGAGCAGGTCTTGAACTTGAGGAAGTTGAAGTTCACGAGGAAAAGTATTTTGTAAAATTAGACGTGTTCGAGCAATGAGACCTGTATACATGGAGCTTCTAGGTCCAAAACCAGCGGAAGTGCGTATCACTGTGTCCCAAGGCAATACCGATGTAATGGTACGTTGATGTGGATTGATGTTGAATCCAAGTGCATCAAAACCCTGTACTTCTTCCAAAAGAATGGGCGAGGTGTAGAAGTCTAAATTCCAAAAGCAAGTTTGTCGAAGGCGATCAGTGAGTTGTTGTGGACCCAAAAGCAGACGGTTGTCAACATAACGAAAGGAACTAAAAAGTTTTCCAGAAAAAATGGCTTGTCCAAAAGGCATGCTGTAGGTGTGCTCTCGATGTAGGGCAACTAGTGAACATACAACTGGGGCCCACTGTGAGCCCATAGATGCGCCTTGTATCTGTCGGTAGCTAACACATCCCAGTGAAAATAAGCTATGGCGAAGGAGGTACTTCACAAGACTATGGTCTCAATTATTGGATTGGTTTGAAGTGTTCGCTCAGTAGAAAACCTCGAAAACATGAATCAAGATCGTACACACATCTGCAGCGATAAGGTCCCTACCGTGTTTGACATTCTGCTTGGTTCGAGCATCACAAACTATGTGTGTCCGCACACTTTTGTGATAGGTCTTCCTATATTCTAGATCTCTTCAAATTGATCTCTTGTCCTCACAATTGTAAATTGATTTGAAAGAGAAGGTGAAAACTCATAAAATGACAGTAAGAAGTAGGGTTCCCGGCCAATAAAATCCTTCGGCACATGGCCACCTTCGCCCTATGGGCACCATTCGCCCGTTGGGCACTCCTTCGGCTTATGCCACCCTTCAATTGTCCTTGACCCCCCTTCGGCTATTGCCATCACTTCTAGCAGCCCCTATGGCTACTCGCTCAACTTCTGCCTCCGTAGAGGGCGGATTCGGCACACTATGCCAAGATTGTTCTTCCCCATTAGGGATGATGAGGTCATGGTCTGTATAGGACACATGACTAATGCACACTGTTGATTTTTGGAAGTGAACTGCAATGACGATGTGGTTGTACATGCCTGGTAGAATCCTGAGTCCATCATCCTTGATAAACAGGTGAAACCAGGTCCAAATCATTAATCGGCAAGGTGGTTCTTGGGTTAGCCACATCCCATCGCGGAAATGGAAAGACATGATTAGGCAGGTACGTCGATCCAGCGTCCCGGATCGATATCACAGAATGTCATAGCCGTCTTCGTTGGCTGCAGAACTATGACATTCCCTGCAGCCCCCTGCTGTTAAGTAGTCTTTGGCGCATGAATTCGGAAAACATAACGTGCATAGTCTTTGGCGCATGAATTCGGAAAACATAACGTGCATAGTCATCAAATGTCCAGTTGTAGTTTTCTGCATGTGAATAGCAGTGTACACACACACAAAGGCCTTCACATGGAAGGCAAATTCTGAAAGACTGCCTAATGAAGTAAGCAGATCACGTCAATATAAGCAACGTTGAACTCAGTCGAAAATGAAATTCATGCTTGGGATTAGGTGTATACGCACCTGCATCTTCATGGACAGGTCTTTCCAAAGAAGGCACTCT